TATATTAAATATTCTATGCCATATTATATTACATTATGTTATGTTATATTTTATTTATATTTAGGGTTTAATGTTGAGGGTGCTTTTTGGAGAGCAACCCCTGCAAAGCCACAAAAAGCACTACATTGACAACTCCAGCTTTCCCTGTTGTTTCTCAACCCACCTGCGAAGTCGGTGCGGCCCTGAGGGTTCTAGGTGGTGGGTTCTAGGGATTTGGAGTTAGAGATGTGCGATTTGGTCTACAGGTCTAGGTTTGGGGCTTATCGGGGTTTGTGGGTCACAGACTTGAGGTTTCGTACTTTGGGGTTTGGTTTTCCCACGAGGACGGCTTTTACGATTCAACAGAATGAGAACGAACGAGAGCAGCAGCATTCTTGGTGGCAACAGCAATTCGTGTATGATCCTACTGTGACCCTGTTTTGCCTGACCTACGCCCCTCACACCCTACAAGATTTAGGGTTCAGGTTTTCGGGGCCAGAGTTAAGGGTCTAGCGTTTAGGGTAACTAACCCAGAAATCCAAAACGGCTCAAGGCTACAGTCCTTCCGAAGGCTCCTGTATGCATCGTAAGATGGGCAGAAGGTATCATGCCGAACAGCCTAAACCCTATATATCCCTCGATATATATACATATATACATATATATATATTTATTTATGTCCATAACAATCTATTGTATGAATTCTGTAGATGTCTATATATGTATATATGCTCCTATAGAATCCCCACAAAGCCCTAACATACGCCCACATCAAAAAGAAGAACCCCTACGTGGATCATCCGTGGGCTCTCAAAACCTAAATCCAAAATCCCTGACCGGTTTAAGGTTTAGGGTTTAGGGTGAATCCCTCACCCCAAACTCTAAGCCCCTCAACCCCGAACCCTCAAACCCTACTAAATTCCTAGATCCCAGACCCCAAAACCCTTAATCCCTAAACCCTAAGCCGCTGAACCCCTGAACCTTGAATCCCTAGACCCTAAACCCCTGAGCCCTAAATTCCTAAACCATATATGATAATCCCTATCTAATCCCAAACTAAAATCCCTATATAACCCCTATAGAACCCCCTTTATAACCTCTATAGAACCCTTATAGAACCCCTATATAACCCCTGCAGAACCCCTTTATAACCCCTACATAACCCCTACAGAACCCCTACATAAACCCTACATAACCTCTAAGTAACCCCTAAGCAACCCTTTATAACTCCTAAGTAACCCCTATAAAATCACAACGGAGGCCGCCTTGAAGTTCATTCGCAAGTCCAGGGGCCCATCCTGATAGCAGCTCCAGCCCCTCCCTCCATCATCCACCTGAGGGCTAAAGGTTTTAGGGTTTGGGGTTTAGGATTTAGGGTTTAAGGCTTAGGGTTCAGGGCTTAAGATTTAGGGTTTAGGGCTTAAGATTTAGGGTTTAGGTTTGAGGCTTTAGGTTACAGGTTTAGGCTTGATTTAGGGTGTTGGGTTTAGCGTTGATGGTGGAGGGGTGTCTTAAGGATACATAGGAATACAGCGGGCCTTTCTAGGAGTATTTCGGGATATATCTATACATAAAGTTAGATGTGGACATGCGCGGCCATGTAGGGATAGATGAAAATATACAAAGATATGTATATATATAAGGGGTATATAGAGACATATGGAGATTTGTAAGGTTTAGGGTCTAAACCCTAAACGCTAAACCCTGACTATAGCGGTCTGGCCCCCTTCATGCAATACTAACCACCCGCAAGTTAACCCCAAGAAGGAAGTCTCACGACTGTATAACCACAGCTTCCATGTCATGTTCCATTTCTTTGCCACCCTAAACCCTCAACAGCAAAAAACTATGATATAGGGATCATATGAGCCATAGTCTAAACTCCTAGTATCCCCCCTAATTACCCCTATAGTAGTCCCCCATATAATCCCCTATATAGTCCCCTTTAAGGAGTCTAGATTACGGGATCATATACGGACGACATTCCCATGTTCCCTGCCATCTCTGCCTGCGGCGAAGAAAAGCCGATGTCCAGCAGCATGCCATCCAGCTCCAGCCCCGTTGGCAGGCTGCGGTGGACATCTGCAAACGGCCTTAAACTGGAATATATAGGGGCATATAGGGGTGATATAGGGGTATATAGGAGTGATATAGGGGTGATATGGGGGTCTATAGGGTTCAGGGTTTGGGGCTTAGGGTTTTAGTCTTGGGTGTTTTGGGGTAGGCCTTCACCCACTATAATGGTATGGCGGGAATATATAGGGAGCCTAGCAGACTTACCGTTGTCCCCTGAATTTGCTGTTAGGGGTGAGGCTCTATAGCCTAGTGGGAATTTCTCGAGATGATCGCTTGGGGACTTAGGGTTTAGAGATTTTTGGCGACTGAAGAAGTTGCTCAAAACAAGCTCCATGTGATCCCTGAGAGGGATCCTCTAGTCGCTTGGCTCATCCTCTTTTTGGTATAGGTTCCCTCAACCTATATAACCCCACTATAGTAGTTTCCATTTTCTTTTCTATTATCCCAATATTACCCCAACCCTAAACCCTATATAACCCCATTATAGTAGTTTCCATTTTCTTTTCCATTATCCCAATATTACCTTATCTTCAAGACATCCTCAGCGGTCCTCCGGATGACGATGTGGTTCTATCGGGTTACACAAGGAAGTGGATGAGGAGAGCGGTAAGGCTTTGGTTACCCCAGACTGAGGACTCTAGCATCCAACCGCCAGATTGAGGGCTCCCTGTATGTCATATTAGCTGTAGTCTGAACTCCTAGTATCCCCCTAAGTAACCCCTATAGTAGTTCCCTATATAATCCCCCACATAATCCCCCTTTAAGGAGTTTAGACCATGGCTCATATGACCCATGCAAGGTCCCTGTTATACGGACTGAGAAGGACGACTTTAGGAATCAAGGTGGTTCCTCCTTTTCCCCTTAACATCAAACGCCCCACCGGACCTCCGCAATAGCAATCTTTCCTCCAGATCATCATGTCTTGTAAGGAATGCGTAATGTTTTCAGGACCTGGGCAGGTGTTCAAAGTTCAGTGAAGGGATGAGTGGACCTCAAGAATCCCCACGATACTTTCCAAAGCCTGAAACTCAGCGATCTGCAAGGGGCCGATGCATCATCGTGAAGCGCTCGTCCAACTCCTCCGTATGTTTGCGCACAGAATGTGAATGCAATATGTCGTTTGGAGTTCTGTGTTTTGGCTTTCGGAAATGCGTGTACTTCATCTTCCGCGCATGATTTCACTCACGTATGCACAGGTTAAGATATAGTAGCTTCCATGAATAGGGGGCACCTTATAGACCCAAGATACTATCATCTGTATTACAGGGCCGCCAATAGGGACCCAAAATCAAATCTTCGGAACCCCATAAAAACAGGCGTGAAGCAGCTCCTCCAGCTTGCGGCCCACCGCCACCGCATTCGGGTCCACATCGAAGCCCCACAGTCGTCCCTGGGCAGAGAGGCGCCGGAGGATCTCTGTTGAGTGGCCTCCACGGCCGAAGGTGCCATCGGCATAGTTGCCCTGGACACCGCCAGGGCCTCCCAGCAAGCAGTTGATTGATTCGTCCCGAAGGACGGGTATATGCCCTGTGGTGAGCTCTGCCGCCCCTTCCTTGACGACTGTCCTCTGACCTCGGTCACGGTTGATCCTCAATGGCACCTTGCCCCAGACAGGATTCGCCTCTTTCAATGCTCGGATCTGCGGGTTGAAGTAGGCTGCCCAGGGATCGTCGCCATCATCCGGCCTATCCCTTTCCGCCCAAGCACTTCTGGCACGCTGCTGACTGCTGCGGCTTGCCCGCGCCGCTTGGTCCAAGCTTGCACGCGTGCCCTGATCCCAAGCACCCCTCCGGCTTTCATCACGGCCGCTGGGTGGCACGGACTCGCAACGCCGAGCAGAAGACGCGCGGCGCCCGGCAGGGCCCATACCATAAGTGCCGCGATCAATGAGATCCACCAGCGAGGTGGAACCTGACGAGATGGATCTCACCTGCTGCGGATTCTCAGCACGAACTGGCGTCTCTGTAGGCGTGTGGGCCAGAGCCTCCTTTTTGGTCGGGCGCTCCTGTGCATCAGACCGTCTTGCATCAGAGTGCCTTGGATCATGCATCTCTCGTGTGGCTTCTTCAAACTGACCTGCGCCGTTTCTTGTCTGAGGGCGACTGCTGGGCCTCGCTCTCGCCTCTTCACTAGGCCGGCCATTTGGTCTTGTCTGTTCCTCGCTGGGAGGCTGCGGAGGCCTACTTGGGGCACGCCTTGAACTTGGGCCTCCCAAGCGCCTGGGTTGCTGTTCAGGAACTT